CAACCCATTTTACAAAATCTTTAACCGCTGCAACACCGCCATCTGCCAGGTGTAGTCACTACTATTTTGACAGGAGGAGTTAACACCGCATGGTAGAGACGGCTGTGACCAAGGTAACCAGGTATGCGCGAATCTATGTAATCAAAATCCAGAAGACTATTACTGGCTGCACGAGTATGCGGCAGGAGCATAGACATACATTAATGGACATGCCTTAACCGTATGTCGTTTTAATAATTTCTTTCCTCGAAAAGTGAGGGAGATGGCGTATGGTTTCGGACTATTTCATGACACCCTTACGCACTATACTGAGAGAGATGGATATTGTCCGAAACTTCGTTCCATCTCTTTCTTTTGTTGTACCACAATTCTGACCGCTAAGGCATGTCCATTGGTAAACGTCGATAGGCAGGAGTAGCAGTCTATGGTGATTATGGTAATGATTCAACCATCGACGTTTACTAATGGACATGCCTTAACGGTCAGACTTGTGGTACAACAAAAGAAAGAGATGGAACGAAGTATCGGACAATATCCATCTCTCTCCCGATAGTGCGTAAGCGTGTCATGAAAGAGATAGCACTAGTCCGAAACCATACGCCATCTCCCTACTTTTCGAATCAGGAAATTATTACAACGACATACGTCCATTAATATACGTCTATGGATTCAACGATGCAAACTTATATTTGTCTATGATCTATGGTCTATGATGTTTCTTATTTAGCCCTTTGTGTATCTATTATCTATGTTATTTGGTATATGATTGTCCATAGATAATAGATATACAAAGGGTCTTATCCGTGGTCTTATCTATGGTATTTGATATTTTATAATAGTTTTTACATTTTAAAGTGAAATTAATAAAAATAAATTTGTGTTTGGGTACATAAATAGTGGAGGTACTTTTTTAATTTCGTTTATATTATCATAAACAATTAATAATATACTTTTATTAGTATTAAATACAGTACCAATGTATATTTATGGTTTATCATTTCCCTACAAAAAATGCTTTTATATTTTATTTTTCGTTTTTAGTTTTTTCAGTGACCATTAAAACATAATTAACTAACAGAAGCTTCTTCAAAATGACTTTAATTCAAAGTGCTGGAGATCAACCTTCTGAAATTTCAAGACAGTCACATTACTCATTAGAATCTGCAGTTCATAATTTAGAGTGGTCATTAGTAAATGATGGGTCTGCGCCTTCATTGCTGGAAAAAATGAATGTTAATCAACAAACAGGTCCCACGGCAAGTGGATTGACTGAACATGATTACCCTACATTATCAGGACTTTCTCTTTCATTAAATAATTTAACTCAAATAAGAACACTCAGTAAAGTGCCTTTACCACCAGAAATAATGGAGCATTTTAGTCGTATCCTTTGTTGATTGTTTAATTAGTGCTAAATTGCTAAATCTATGATATATATAACTTAATTTCCTTAATATTTATACATACATTCAACAACACTGCATGATGGGACTGTTCACTGAAATAAATAGGGGTTGGTTAACTATTGATAGTGATATTTATGTATGGTCATATGAAGATGGTTCAGATGTAGCATATTATGATGGTATCAATGAAACAATTATTGGAATAGGTCTTGTAAAACCCAAAGATGGAGTTTTTCATGATTTTATAAAATTCCTTTTGATTGTTACGACTGCTGTTGACATAGTTGTTTTGGGCATTACATTTACATCAGGAACAAATGATCCATATGAAGAAATACACTTAGTTCCAGACCCTATATTTACTGTTCCTTCAGATGGTTGTTTAATAACTATTATTGAAGGATCTAATTTAGGGAGAATATTTTTGGGAAGTAAAGATGGTTGTTTATATGAATTAGTTTATCAGGTATCTGCCTAATTACTTTACAGATATGTTATATTTATTTAGTGCACATTAATATTACTTTTATTTCATAAGTCTGAAAGCAGCTGGTTAGGAAAACGCTGTAAAAAAATTAATCACTCCACCAGTGCTCTCTCATATTTCATGCCGTCCTTTATAAATGCTGCCCTTAGCGAAGAGGACTGTGTAGTACAAATTTCTATTGATAATAGTCGTCATATACTGTATCTACTGATGGAAAAAGGGTCAATTGAAGTATACGATTTGGGTGAAAAAGGAAATTCACTTTCCAAAATTACTAAACAAACACAAGCAAGCTTGGTTCAGCAAGCAATGAATATAGTTAAGTAAGTATTAAGTGTCTTAATTACAGTTACATACTTAATAAATAAACATTTTAGGACATTAGACAGTCAAAATTTTCGACCAATTGTCAACATATCGGCGATAGAATCGTCCGAATCGCTGTATCTGAATTTGGTAGCCATAACGCAAACAGGTGTGAGATTTTATTTTTCTATTGTTGGATTAAGTAATTTGCAACCTAATCAGAGGCCGTACACTTTGACTTTACTGCACGTGAGATTGCCTCCTGGTTATTCTGCAACTATGACCAGCAGGCCTCGCATGGTGCATATGGCCAATTGTTCAGCAGGTAACATGCTTCTTATTTCGTCGGTTAACGAATCAGACGCTTTATGGTGTGTTAGTTCTGATATGTTTCCCTTTACCTCGGCGTTTATGGAATTGCATACCACCATTACATTAGATGGACCAGCTTGGGCCATGGCAGAAGTAACTAATTGCATAGTTCCTTCAATTTTTTAAGTTTATGTAACACGTTTTATTCTTTAGATTAGGCATACTCTCCCAGGAATCAAGGTGCCCCAACCACAACGTGAAGACCCTCCTTTGGTGGTTCGTCAGCATTTAGAACCACCAAGAAAATATGTAGTGTTGACTGCTCAAGGGGCCCACATCTTTATGAAATTACGTCCTGTAGACGTTTTGCGACAGCTTTTGTGCGAAAATCAAGGTCCAGAAAACGATTCGGTTAGAGGTTTTTTTGTCATGCAGAAGGAAGATCAGGCTTGTGCAACCAGTTTAATTTTGGCTTGCTCTGATAATGTTGAAAATCACGATGTAGCCGAATGGGCAACAAGGTCATTTTTCTTGTACGGGGGTGAACCTAGGATTATGTCATCGCAATTGATTAACACAAACAAACCTATGTGTAAGTGATATAATTTATTTAAAATATATAAATATGTATCACTTTTATAAATAAGTTTAGAAACAGATTTCAGGTTTACTGATTTTTTTGTTACAGTTTAATGCTTCAAACGTTTGAATTCTGACCTTATACATCATAATATTAGCATATATCTTTAAAAACAGTGTCTGATAAAATGTTATCGACTTTTTTTTATGATTTAATGTGACTTTTGTTTAGTTTCTGGAAATACAACGTTTCTTCCCGAAATTATTTCTACACCAAGACCAGCCACAAACACGCAACTTACTCAGAATATCTCAACCCACCCTGGAAATGGTTTTACTTTTTCGGCAAAACATAATGGACTCTATATATTTCTTAGTAGAATTCTTAGGCCCGTGTGGTTTCGAAATTGTGTGCAAAAAGTGAATATTTCTAATGGGAAATTTTACGTATGTGTTTCTATTTTGTAAAGAATTTATCATAATTTACATAAACATATATTTTTTAGCTGTCCAGTGCTCTTCCCATTGAAGAATGTGTTGTTATAATTGGTCATTTGTCTGCCTTGTCTACTTTTTTGCATAAAAATACTCAGTTGTCTGTTATCCTTACTTCTGGTATATCTGATATGATTAATCAATCAAATTTGACGAAAACTCCTCCAAAAGTGTCATTTAAAGCAAATCAATCTACTCAAGATCTGCAGTTAGAAGAACGGCAGTCTCTTTCGGCATTTAAAACTTTTGTAAACCATTCCTGTCAAGTTTTAGGCCTGTGGAATATATTGTGCGAGCATCAGTTTCACGAATTGATAAGTAGCCTCCCAGAAACTCATCAACACGTTATGCAGACTATGTGTTTCAAGGATTTCATTCTCTACGCCGGGGAAATTTATGTCGAACTGATCAATAGTTTGATTAATAGTTACATTGGAGATAATGCATCTGTTGATTCAATTAGTCTTAAGTTGAGGTCTGTGTGCCCAAATTTATATAGAAGTGAAGATGCAGCTTGTACCAAGGTGAGTTAATAAAAAGATTAGATGTTTCTTCCTTACTTTAAATAACTGCGACTGTATTTGAAAAGATTGAATAACCTTATGTATAATAATGATAACATAATGTTTAGGCAAATGAAATATTAAAAGGTGCAAGAACGATCCAAAATAAGAACGAAATAGAGGAAATGTTGTGTACAGCTTTAAGTATTTGTAAGAGCGTAGCTCCAAATATTAATTTACGAGAAATTTGTCAACAATTTGTTTCTCTTGGTGCATACAATGCCGTTTTGGACTTGTGCGTAGATTGCGCAAAAAAAATTGATCCTGACAACATAGGTGAACACTACTACAAAAACGGTGAACAACGAGAGCACGAAGACTATCATCTTTACAGTAGAAGGTACTTATTCTCCCTTACCCTATTTTTTCTTTTTTTTTTTTATTTATTTAAACAGTCAATTATTTTACTTAGAATCGCAATTTATAATGAAATTAAGAATATGCTTGATCATTTGTATTCCCAAAGTGACCATGATGTGCTACATGTTACATCACAACCAGCAAGCTCCGTGGTAAGTTTAAACTTTTTTTTTTATTATTCTACTGATTGAAACCTATAATAGTAATCGATTGTATGTTATAGATCCAAAGAGTAATCGACATGGCGATGGAATATGATGATGAGCTTTTGCATGTAGCGATCTATGAATGGCTGGTATCTAAAAATCTCGTTTCCGATCTTATCAAAATTACTTTGCCTTCTTTAGAGTATTACCTTGTAAGAGCTGCTCATCAAAATAGTGATAATATAGTGCTGCAAGATATATTATGGAAACTGTATGAAAATAACAATAATCATGCAGCCGCTGCTAAAATATTAAATAATTTAGCATCAAACAGAAAGTAAAAATATATGCAGTAAACGTCTGGTACCTATAAAAATATTTTTTATTTTAGTAATAGTTTAACTTTGAAAGATCGCCTGGCTTATTTAGCACGAGCTGTAATGTGTATGAGAAGCGATAAAGTGGGTTATGCACCACATTTAGGAGTTTTTTTAAGGGAATTGGAAGATAAATTGGAGATAGCAAAAGTACAAGAAAAAGTACTAGAAAGCATTACAAATCAGCATCATAACAATCCTAGTGATGAAGAAGCAATTGTATCATTAAATTGTAATCTGTATGAAGTGACGCAGGTTGTGTATATGTTTTTATTTTATTTTTTATAATGCGAATTATCAGCTGTTTATAACATTTCTCTTGTTATTTATTACATCAATTAATTATTTTAGTTATACGAAGATTTTTGTGATCCCTTCAATTTATGGGAATGTAAACTAGCTATTATTGAATGTTCTGGTTATACAGATACATCACTAATCGAACTGATCTGGCACAATATTTTACAAAATGAAGTAAGAAGAACTGCTGGATTACCGTTGGACAGAATGAATCATGTCTTAAACGAAGTCAAACGCCTTTACAATCTATACAAAAACTCGAACATTTGTTTTCCACTGCGTGAGTTGTTTTTATTACAGACTTAGTTTTTATTTATTTAGTTAAGGTATCTTGTAAATACGTATTATTATGGTTAACGGTCAATATTGAATTATTTTATTGCAGCTTTTATCGTTGCTCAGTTAGAAATTATAAGTTCAAAGCTTAAAGTGGAACCTGGTGTGGTTCCCACAACCCTGTTTTCCTACGGGGTTCCTTTGGATACATTGATTAATATATATATTTCGTAAGTGCTTATTCTTAAATAATGTACTACAAATTCATTGTAATATGTAATAAAATATGTAGGAACTTAAACGCTGCATCCGCTGACCGTTTCTGGTCCATAGAAGAAAACTATTATCGATTATGTGAAGTTTTTGGAGCCACGGTGGATTTGTTTATTACACATAACGAGGATTTCAGCAGCGTTATAAAGTAAGTTGTAAAGAAAGTAAAACTATTCCTCAAATTACACGAACTAAAGATTTTACCAAATATTGTTTTTCTTTAGTTATAAAACATTGTCATTGTACAAACTGCAGACCTCTCTTTATTATAATTTTGTAACGATTTTGTTTCTTTTTCTAGGAGAAAAATAATATCTGTTTGTCAAGATACAATTTCAGGACTATTGACTAATTTGTATGGTAAAACGAACACGACTCGCTTGATAGATAAAATTCGACAACTTCAAACAGCGATGTCAAGATTATGAACTTAAAATGGGTAGTTTTTATTTTAAAAGTAATAATATGTTCAATTTGTAAGAAAAATGCATTAAATACACTGTCATTTTTTCATTTTAATATGATCCTTTTTGTCCTATCTGGGTACTTAACAGTAATTCGAGAGTAATGTTTCCGTAGGTTGCAGTTGTATCAAAAGTATCGGCATTTTACTAAAAATTTTATTAAAAAGAAGAGCTGGGCGAGTGGTTGCACGGCTCACCCGTGTGTGACTAAAATGCGTACCATAAGATACATTTATTTTTATAAAATTGCGTGAAGAGTTCACGAGTTTCTGCTGACGAGCATTTCATAAATATCGTTTATGTGTGGTCAGAAACAGGATCAAATGAAAGCTACATGTGTCTATCTGCACAAAACTCAAAAACAAGAAAGTTCATGAAGACACTGTCCACAGTATTATATAAAATACATATTTATAGCACTTAAATTAATAATATAATTAAGAACTTCTATACTCGTTTCAATAATATACCCATGTACAATTCCAGGATAGCATTATTGGCTTAAAATTTAAAGTAATAGGATATTACGCTTAAGAAATCTATAAGCAAATATTTATTAAATCGTTGAGCTTACGTTTGCGCAAAAACTCGAACAACATTAAAAAAAAATTTTAACTATGATTATGTATAATTTTTGTTATTGTACATTATGTGTCATCAAATCAACAAATCCTACTACAAAAAAGATAGATTTTATTTTTTCTATCTACAAAGGTAGATTCAGGTTGTAGTAATTCTGCGCTTATTTTTTTTTTTCAGAACATTTCTATTTAAGATAAAAAAAAAACGTAATAAGCTTAATTTTATTAAGCGTTTATTTATATGCTATAAATATTTATTTNATCTAATAAGATAGAAAGTAAATAATGACGATGTAATGACCTATATAAATTTTAAACCGAAGTTTTAGAGCCAAACAGCTTATGCAACCAATGTTGCAGCGAAGCGCATGCGTTTGCGTATTGATGTGCGCATATGCGCTTGACAATTCCGCAAAAATCTATGTGAATCTATGGCAAAAATAAAACTAAACAACCATGTCTTACGATTATAGACTTTACTTTTCTTAGTAGATGATTTGTACTTCATTTTTTAAATTTATTAAGGTGAAGTAATAGTTATTTGGTGAAAATAAGGTTTAAAAGGCTACACTAATATTAATGACTTCGGTGGGTTGATTCGCCACTGTCATCATTTCCTGGTAGTTGTCAGCCATGTTTCAAAATGTTGTTGTATAGTGTGCATTGCTGTGGTGACTGAAAACCAAAAATATAATTTTCTTGAAGTGATTCTTTCTGTTTCGGCCTAAAAATGGCAGGAAACACGGGGATGGAGCAGCTTATTCCTATCGTGAATAAGTTGCAGGATGCCTTCACGCAGTTAGGGGTGCATATGACTTTAGACTTGCCACAAATAGCCGTTGTGGGTGGACAATCAGCAGGCAAAAGTTCAGTATTGGAAAACTTCGTTGGAAAGTAAGTCAAACAGTATTTTATGCTTCGTATGCTTTGCATGCCTTGTACCATTTATCACGCTTTTTGTCCAAAATTTAACTGACAGTTTTTTTTTTGGGAGGTTCCCTTAACTTGGCGTCTATAGTTTTTATTTATCATTTGTATGAAGTATCTGTCAACAGGAGTGATACAAATTTTTTTTTATTTCTTTATAAAACGTAAGAATTGTCTGATATTTATGTTTTTGTGATTTATCATTTTTAAGTAATCTTATTGATTTTATAATTTTTTTTTGTAGAGATTTTCTTCCTAGAGGATCTGGTATAGTCACCAGGAGACCACTTATTTTACAGTTGATAAATTCTATCAGTGGTAAGTTGTACCTAAGATATTTGGTTATTTTCTGAAGCTGATAGCATGTAAAAACCATCACCTATATACTAATTAGTGTTTACAGATAAGTTACAGAAAGTGGATATGATTATTGAGTATTTTATGGAGCACATAGTCAATACATGTAATATTTAAATCAGATCAAGCCTAATTTATAAAGCGTTGTTTGTTTTAACTTTCATCTTTCAAAAATATTCTCTTCTGTTACTTCAAGTTCTTGTTTATTTACTGTATTAACTTTTTATTTTCTTATAATGTCACTAGTACTGTTTTTTTTTTTTTCAAAAACATTTACGATTGAGTTTCCCCAATTCCTTATTTGTATTATATCAGATATGTACTGGTTATAATTAATTGCATTTTTGTTTTGTCTGATGAAAATTTTGGTGAACTTTTTGACTTATTACAAAATCATGTTTAACTTTATATTTTGTAATTGAGTTGAGAAAAATTTTATTAAAGATATGGCTTAAAATTATTTATCTATATATAGTATTTAAAAAAATGTTCAAGTAATCAATGCATAAAATGCTAAATCATTGTATGCAATGCCTCCAGTGTTCTAATGGTGTGCACATTTAATTGCTATTAATTCTTTTATTTATTTGAAGTCATCCTTGTAGGGTTTTGTTTCATTACAGTTTTTTCTGTTACAGAATATGGTGAGTTCTTGCACTGTAAAGGCAAGAAGTTTGTAGACTTTGATGAAATTAGACGTGAAATTGAATCAGAAACAGACCGAATTACAGGTTCAAATAAGGGAATATCAAATGTTCCTATTAATTTAAGAGTTTATTCTCCAAATGGTAGGTAGTTATTTAAATAAATTTAGTTTGTATGGTTAAATATGTACCCAACTAACATTGCAGTTTTAAATTTGACTCTTATTGACTTGCCTGGTTTGACAAAAGTCCCCATTGGTGATCAACCAGTAGATATTGAACATCAAATCAAGTCAATGATAATGCAGTTTATTAAGCGTGACTCTTGTCTAATTCTTGCTGTTACTCCAGCAAATACTGATTTAGCAAACTCAGATGCTTTAAAATTAGCCAAAGAAGTAGATCCTCAAGGTAAGAAATAATGGTGTTTTTAAAGATACTACTATATGTGGTTATTTATTTTATTTTAATTTTCATTGGAAGTGTGAAGTTATTTTCTTAATTTGATTGTATTTTATATAGGTATTCGTACAATAGGTGTTATAACAAAGTTAGATTTGATGGATGAAGGGACAGATGCAAGAGATGTTCTAGAAAATAAACTTCTGCCTTTGCGAAGGGGTTACATTGGTGTAGTAAATCGTTCTCAGAAAGACATAGATGGTAGAAAAGATATAAAAGCTGCAATTGCAGCTGAAAGACAGTTTTTTATGAGGTATTCAATTCATTTATTTGGTTTATACATTTATTTTTATTAACCAATTGTAATAATTTGCCTGAATCAAATAATTANGTATAGCCAATTAAATATTACTCGTGAAATCTTATTTGTATTGCATATGTGGGATTATTTACAGAATTTGATTTGTATGCAATTATTTCAAATACATATATACAAAACTTGTTAATAATAATAGTAAATAAAAGATTAAATTTTTATGAAATCATACAATTTTTGAAACGAAAAATATACTTGTTTAAGGAAAATATTTAAGACCTTATTTCCTCTATTCATTATCTTCATAATCATTTTGTTTCTAATTTTTCGTTAATACATTTACTGATATTCATTGTAAAACCTATCACCTTAATTTATTTTTCATTGTAGTCACCCATCCTACCGTCATATCGCAGATCGATGTGGCACTCCGTATTTGCAAAGAGTTCTTAATCAGCAACTGACTAATCACATTCGAGACACATTACCTGGACTTCGAGATAAACTTCAGAAGCAACTTTTGACTTTGGAAAAGGATGTGGAACAGTTTAAACATTTTAGACCGGACGATCCATCTATCAAGACTAAAGCCATGTTACAGTATGTGACATTAAGCCTATTTTCGTAAATTTGTAGGTGATTAATGTTGTATTGTTAGGATGATTCAGCAGTTGCAATCCGATTTTGAAAGGACAATTGAAGGATCGGGATCTGCCCAAATTAACACAATGGAGCTCTCTGGTGGTGCTAAAATTAATCGTTTGTTTCATGAAAGATTTCCTTTTGAAATAGTTAAAATGGAGTTTGACGAGAAAGAACTCAGACGGGAAATTGCATTTGCAATTCGAAATATTCACGGCATTAGGGTCAGTTTTCTTCTTGAACTGTTTGGTATAATTTTTGCAACGTTTTATTGGATTTTAGGTTGGTCTTTTCACGCCTGACATGGCTTTCGAAGCTATAGTAAAAAAACAAATTGCTCGTTTAAAAGAGCCATCATTGAAATGCGTCGATTTAGTGGTGCAGGAATTGTCTAATGTTGTACGCACTTGTACTGATAAGGTGCGTACAATTTTTTTCCCGGTAGAAAAAATTTTTGAAAATAAAATATTTATTATGTTGACAGATGGCACGTTATCCTCGTTTGCGGGAAGAAACGGAACGTATCATAACTACATACGTCAGACAACGTGAGCAACTTTGCAAGGAGCAACTCATTCTCCTCGTAGACTGCGAACTGGCTTATATGAACACGAATCATGAAGACTTTATTGGCTTTGCCAAGTATGTATAACATTTTATTTGTAATTAACATTTTTAGTTATTTTAATCAACAAACCGATGTTTTCACGTAAGATTTAAGTTTAACAACATAAAAAATGCATCATGGGTAAATCACCGTACATATGTAATTGAATTGTAATTTAAATAATGTAAAAGTATGTAAATAATAATAAGAGTGTTATCTTAACAGTGCTCAAAATCAGTCAGAAAATTCTACGAAAACGGGATCGTCTCGAGGTCTAGGCAATCAGGTCATTCGTAAGGGTTACATGTGCATTCACAATTTGGGTATAATGAAAGGCGGTTCTCGCGATTATTGGTTTGTCTTAACGTCAGAGAATTTGTCGTGGTTCAAAGATGAGGAAGAACGGGAGAAGAAATACATGTTGCCTCTGGACGGGCTCAAACTTAGAGACATAGAACAAGGTTTCATGTCGCGGAGACACATGTTTGCACTTTTCAATCCTGATGGTCGAAATGTATACAAGGTAAGTAGTTAGTCTGTAATTTTCGTGTGTAGTCTTTTGTGATTGGTAACTGTTTAATTCTTAAAATCAAAAACGTACTACGTGTTTTTTTTAATTAAATGAACTGAAATTAAACAGAAACAAAGACCAAATTACAGGAAAAAATTGTTGCTTTAATTAATGGTTAATTGATCGTTCTCCGTGGAGATTCTTGTAACTGCACATTAATGTTTCTCCACTTTTTTACAAGTACGGTCGCTCGGAAAGCGTCCACAAGGTGAGAAAATAGATCACTCGAGGCTCTACATGTTAGCCACTCCAGCGAAGTATAATGTGTAACATAGCGTTATATATATACAATTCTGTATGCCAGTGTGCTTCTCTTTCTGTTTATTACTTGATCTCAACAGTTATACATCGATTTTGTTGGTTTATTCACAGGATTATAAGCAATTAGAATTAAGTTGCGAAACTTTGGACGAAGTTGACTCGTGGAAAGCATCTTTCTTAAGAGCTGGCGTATATCCTGAGAAGCAGACTGAACAAGTTAATGGCGAAGAAGTGAGTTAGAAATGAAGAAAATTTCTAAAAATATTACTCATGATAAATTTATTACAGACGTCTGAAAATGCGACTAGTTCAATGGATCCACAGCTTGAGAGACAGGTAGAGACGATAAGGAATTTGGTCGATAGTTATATGCGTATCGTAACAAAGACAACGAGGGACTTAGTGCCCAAAACTATTATGCATCTGATCATCAACAATGCAAAAGATTTTATAAATGGCGAGCTCTTGGCACATTTGTATGCCAGTGGTGATCAGGTTTGTATTTTTTGAACGAAGGAAATGAAAAGAAATCAATTCCTGCAACTGTTTCAATCAATGGGTTATAATGAGAAATACACGTTGCCAATACATGACTAACATATTGTATTTCTTATTATGTCAAATTATAAATCGAATTCCTAAAAATTATGTGATATGGTTTAGGACCACACAAGCAAGATTACCACAATCAGTTTCAACTAATTGTCTAATTGTCAAGACGTTGAAAGTGGAATACAAGTTGTGTATTTCTAATTACTCAATTTTTTTTATTTTCGTCCGTCTTTTATAGTTTTATGAGTTTGATGTTTAATTTAAAAATAGCAACAAATGATGGAAGAATCACCTGAGGAAGCCTTGAAGCGTGAAGAAATGTTGCGAATGTACCACGCATGTAAAGAAGCTTTAAGAATAATAGGAGATGTTTCAATGGCTACAGTATCCACACCGGTACCTCCCCCCGTAAAGAATGACTGGCTGGCAAGCGGCTTGGATAATGCACGATTATCACCACCTAGTCCGGGCGGGAGTAAACGACAGGCTCCGTTAATGAGTCAAGTTGGTTCATCGGGTGAGCTATATTCTACTTTTTCTCTTTTATTTTTTAAAGTGAAACTTTTATCACATTGCCTCAAAGTTTTTCATCCATCTATCGCATGTCGCATAACAGCCGGCCGCGGAGTAGGGGTAAAACTGAAAGGCGCTCGGCAGAGCAGCTAAGACCAATATGGAGGCGCCCATGACTTGGTTTTTCATCATCATTCCCATTTTTTAATCATTAAGATAAGATTAAGAACGCAATTTTAATTTGATACCCTAAATTGAATAATTTTCCGAAAATTTACAGTTAAATGCCTACAATCCGAAAAGTTTCACTTGCATCGTGGTTTCACAAAACCACACTATATTTTTTTTTTTTTAATACAGTCAACATTTCTTACTGCTATATATAAAGGGCCCCCGACTTTTCAGCCGGAATTAGGCCATATTCAGCACACTATACTAATATATGGACATTTACAAAATTGAAAGTGACTGTAAAGTTGATTAAGAAATCAATAAACTACATGTTACCCCTATAAATGTGTAGGGCCATTTGTTACATAATATTTTTAATAAATGGAAAATTTTTAGGATCGTTAGGTTCTTCCGGCAACGTCAGGGCTCCACCGTTGCCTCCAGCTTCAGGAAGACCGGCTCCTGCGATACCTAATCGACCTGGTGGAGGAATGCCTCCCATGCCACCTGGCAGACCTCAAGGACAACCTCTGCCAGCACCTCTCATTCCCACGTGAGCATTCGTTTGTTTTTTTTCTTTTGTTTTTAATAACAAATTTACTAATACTTGTGAGATAAATGACAAAATTCATCCAAAACTAAATTTTGTTTCGGTTGTTTTGTAAACACATACAGCAAAATGCTTTTAAAAGATTGGTGAACCCTCATTTATATGTTGTGCAACTTGTAGTTGTTTCTTTCGATGATTTGTTTGCTTATTTGTTGTGTGTGGGGCCAATGTTAATTAAAATATGTGATGTCTCTATTTCACAAGACTGAACTGAATTGTAAAATAAAAAAGGATCTTATATTATTATATGGTGTATGCAACTGAAAAATTCAAAGCTTCAAAAGGGATATATTTTCAGTTTTCATTCCAAAATATGTTCACCAATCTTTTTTGCTAAATCTGAGGTTGTGGTTTTTTCTTTTCAGGAGACGTTAAGCAAGAAACAACTAATTGCATCCCATTAACTTCAAACACGCTTTAGATATCGTATTATTCGTTAATAATTATGAATAATAATAATATTAAGCAGTAATAAAAAATAGATATATACATATATGTGTCATAAAATAACATAATGTGTAGAGGTGCATTTGTGCGCAAACTGTTATACTGCCTGTTTTTTATCTTCATACTGTGGTGTGGCGCAACGTTTGTAAATAACACGATGTTATAAGTATGTCAATATCGGGAAATATGAGTTGACAATTTTCGCTATTAAAAGTAAAGGCGCTTCTTACTGCTGACAAAGATAAACAATAGGTTATATTTTTTTTGTTTCATTTTTAAAACTAATTTTGCACGTCTTCATGCTTAGATGCTAGTTTAATTAAATAGAACAATACCGCTATTAAAACTTAATAACTGATAGAATTACTTTTTATTCCAAAAACTATCCTAGGATTTTAATAATAATTAATTGATCGATCTGAAGCAATTTAGTATGTACAAGTACTTTTTAATTGAATCATAACGAGATTTCGTGTTGAAAATTAGAAAGGTGAATCTTCGTACATATTTATTCGTATTTCCGTAGTTTTGACATTTTTAATTTACAACACAAAAACAGCAATGTATTTGTTTTTGTATGTACCTTCAAATAATGTGCGGCTAAGGGAATATTATGTCTCTGCAGCCGTTTCGGAGGTCAAGGGGTCATCCAAATTCCTCAGCAAATGCAACAAGCTGTGGGGCGCGCTGCCGCCAATGCAGCCATCAACGAACTGTCAAATGCCTTCAAAATACACAAGTAATTTTTCCTTTTTTGCCTACTTTGCCTATATTTGTATTAATACTGTTCCATTTACCACCACTTGTTTGACTTTTGTTGTTCAGTACTTTACTAATGCTGTATAGTTACATATGTGTAGTAGTAAAAGGGGCTAACTTATAATTGCGACAAAAGCACCCCCAATACGATGTATTTAAAACAAAGTATTTTAAATGTAACATATAAAGTAATATTTTCTAAAATGAAAGTACAAATACAAAGTATTTTCGCTCAGCTTAATTCAATTGTTTTTCTTCATTATTTGTCTCTGTCTTTTCTTCAGATTTCTTGCTAAGTAATTTTGCAAGCATTTTTTCTTCTTTCACCTTTCGTCTTGCTTCTTTCATTAATTTCTTTTGTTCCTTTTCTTTTTTTTCAACCATTTCCTTAAACTTTTCATCTCTAGGATCTACTGCATATCCAAAGTGTCTTCTTACTTCTTCTATCAATCTTTCTTTCTGCACCTACAGGTATAAATACTTATGCATAACAAAATAATGATAATAAAAATTTTAAAGTATATACACACTCTTGCAGCAAGTTCTTCAGCTTCTTTCTTCTTAATTTTATCATGTAGGTCTTTCTTCCACTGATCCAATTTAGCCATTTTATCCGTAATTTCTTTCTGCTTATTTAAAAGTCGTTCATTTTCTTCTTTTTTTCTTATTTGTGCTTTTTCCATCATTTCAAGAACAGTAAAAGGATAANTCCTATGAGTTAGAAATTAAATGAAACCATAGTATTGCTACTGTTATTAAGAAAAATAAGCAGATTCTATTAAAAAAATACGTGTTTCATTTTTGTTGTATAAAGTAATTTGTTATTACTCACAAATTTATGTTCTCTTTATATGGGCACATTAATGCATTAAAACTATGAACGCACTGTTGTAAATAAATAATCAGATTTTTTGTAGTTGCGCAAAAAATATTTAACACTGCAAAAAATAAAAATATTGACAGTAGTTCATTGTATAGCCAATTAAATATTACTCGTGAAATCTTATTTGTATTGCATATGTGGGATTATTTACAGAATTTGATTTGTATGCAATTATTTCAAATACATATATACAAAACTTGTTAATAATAATAGTATTTAGTGATATGTTATATGAAGAATTCAAGAACTACTTAAATAGATAAATGTGTAAATACAATAACATTAAATAGGTACTGGCTTATGTGTGCTTTTCCCTTTCCCGTTAAATAAAACTAAACAAGACGTTTGAAGGTTTTAACATTAAACTCAATAGTAAATCATTTTGTTTCCTTTGACTAATAAATAATTGGCTTAATAACCGCGTAATTCTATTCTTCTGTTTCTATTTACTAACCATGAAAATGTACTACAAGCCCAGTTCATTAATAAACTAACTTTTTAAGCATTTTTAAAAATGCGCTGCATATTCCAAACATTGTGTGCGTCAAACAGTACACAATTTCATTAACTTTGGGTAACTTGTCCACTTAACATATATTGTGCCACTTTGTGGCTTTTTTAGAATCTGATATGTGTTCTTTGTTTGGATTTACTAAATATATATTTTTTTTTTTTGAAATTTAATGTTATACTTGAAATATTTGGTAAATTGAGCTTTATTATCCTGGCGTTTTTTTTAAGGTAAAATGGTATTGGGTTAACCTTTTGTGTGATTCTTTTGATGCGCAATAATTGCACTAGAATTATAATTTTACTGAAACGATAATTATTTTTATTATCATTTTAGCCGACCAGTACCAAATATACCGCCAAGAATACCAGACCGCCCGTTCTCTGGAAGATCCAATTTCTAAACAAACATTTGACCTAACGCAACATGGGACCAATAATGAAACAGAGTAATATTTGGTTATAAATATTCGTGTTGAACAAGAGCTTGTGATTAGATGTAAGTTGGAAAATTCGGCTAAAAGATTTTGATTATAGGTATTTATATTTTCACATTGTAAATACAAACGGTTCGCGAATTACAATCGAAACGACCTGCTTTGCGCATCAAACGCAAACTAGTCCTTAATAGAGTATTACTACTTTTACTGTTTATGTAAATATGAAGATATCTATTAAATTAATTTTGTTTCTTTTTTTATTCTACTTTTTTCTTTTCCATGTTAATTTTAACTCGATTTGATTTTACTTTGTATTCGATTTTTATTTTTGTTATGTAACTATTTTCTAATTTTTATGTCCTACCAAATGATTGAAGTATACATATTTGTTTATAAACAAAATTAATTAATTAAAACAAAAAATAGATATATACATATATGTNATTAAAACAAAAAATGGGGATACATAAGTATTCAAAATAACTGGAAAGAAATTGAAATAGTCTTTTTTGCTATCGTTTCGGCACATGTTGAGAGCATTCTTCGGAGCTCTAATCAAATAGAACCATAAGAATAATTTTATCAATTAAAGTTGTTATATGTTTATGTTTCTGACTCCAATCTTTTTGTATTTATAGTTTTAAAGAAAGCTCACAACAGAAGTCGAAACATTTGCAAAAATAATTTGTACAAAATTATTTTGAAATTGCTTTCAAGACGGTAAAAAATTTACGGTCGTAATAATCACTCATAATGTAAATGTTTTTACTATGAACTCAATATTTTTTCGATCGAAATGACATTCTGAGAAAAAGACAATAAAAAAGAAGAACTTTGTGTGTCCACAAAAATCTCATACTTTATTTGAAATAAGTTGTTTCACAATCCGCTTTATATAGATCTAACATTACTCAAATATCAAAAGTAACTAATTCTATTTATTTCAAACAAAACAGTTCGCGAGATGGGAAAAATTCATTTTCCATTTATTCGCTTCGGCTAAGTACCTATGCTATATTAAATCTGCACTAAATTTAATTTTCTAGTACGGCAATACACCGCTTCAAAATCTAGCATGTTTTATTCGACAATCACTGGTGCTCTGTTCCAAAAACAACTGTAAGTATTATCCATAATTGTCTTAATCGTGCTGTATTATTCAAATTATTTGTTAAAATAAATAAAAACTGATTAAATTCTATTTATAAAAAGTAAAATAAAAACCATTCGTTTAACGTGTTATTGTAAATTCTTAATATTTTTAATATAATAAAATATGACCATTTAACATTTTGACTGCTCACGACAATGCTTCATTAAAGGCGGTTTTTATTTTGGATACAAAAATTTAATTGTTTATAGTTCTATCCACTTTCATAGTGAACGCTTATATGAAAAGTTGTTTCAATTAATGGAACGTACCCATAGTTCAATTTTTATCTATGATTCAATATTGATAAGTCATAACAATAGATTTACAACCATAGATGTATATTAATGGACGCCTTAGCCGTATGTCGTTCTTGTAATAATTTCCTTATTCGAAAAGTAGGGAGATGGCGTATGGTTTCGGACTAGTGCTATCTCTTTCATGACACGCTTACGCACTATTGGGAGAGAGATGGATATTGTCCGAAACTTCGTTCCATCTCTTTATTTTGCTGTACCACGATTCTGACCGCTAAGGCATGTCCATGTCCAAAACCATGCGCCATCTCCCTCACTTTTCGAGCCAAGAAATTATTACAATTACATACGGCTAAGGCACGTCCATTAATATATGTCTATGGTCCTATCCATAGACATCTATGCCATAGACATAGTTTCATATTTATATACTCTTAACAATAATAATATTCTGGTTATTAATAACCAAAATTAAAATCATATAATTAATAATTCCCTTTTATTACCAAAGAAGAGATACATATTTGTAATGCTACGGAGTTAAAACATACAGTGGTTACCTTATGATATTATTGATAATATGTGCTATGATTAAACAAAGTCGTCTTCATTAAACTCTTTTCAATACTAATAAGTAGAATTCTTACAATTCCTGTTTTTTTATCAACCAATACTTGTTAAGAATTATTAAAGATGAGTACAAAGAATGTTTTGGCATGCAACTGTTTAAATATCGTAATTGAATTAGAAAGTAACGAAAATATGCGAATTTTTCAAAACCCTCCTAGTGCTGAAGACCAACAAAACCCTTTTTTCAAACAGGTAACGAAATAATTTTTTGTTAGCTAATGAGTCTTCAACAAGTAGTTTTCAGGAACTGCTTTGGATTAACAAATTAAAATGCATTGATAAACAATATGCTTCGCTAGTTTCCTGCACTAATGTAGGGGACTGGATTATTCATTATTGTATCAATTGTGGAATGTATACTTATGCTGTCCACAGGGAGTTAGGGAAAGATTGTGTATTGGTGATGAAAAGTTTATTGGTAGGTATATATTTTTGAAAATAGACCAACTGTTAAGACAATATTATTTCATCAAGAAATTGGTTAGAGTTATAAAGAGTAGTATCTACATATATTATTTTAGACCTCTCGTTCAGTGGATGAATTACAGAAAAAGGATGGTTTCTCAAAAGTGTTTAATATTATAATAAATCAAGAACAAAGTGATATAAGTAGTGATCATGATATGGATGGTAATTTTAACTTTTTCTTTATTCTTGTCTTTAGTTTTTAATCAACAATATTTTAGTTCTCCCTCTAGATGTTCAGATTACCTTAAATAATATAAAGCGTCTTGCCTCTGAGAGCATTAAACAGGAAACAGCAATAGTAGAGGAAAAAATACGCAATTTTACTGAGAAAGAAAATGCAGCCTTGGAAGCCTTTTGTGAAAAAATTAGAAAAGAACAATCTATTCTAATAAGGTAATTTAACAATATATATATACATATTTATTACAGTATATTACTATTAGTGTTTATTGCTTTAAAGTAAGTATGTTTATGTTCAAACAAAAAGAAACTTCAAAAATAGGAGGTACTCAATTCCATTGTATTTTTTGGGCGTTTATTAATCATGCTTTTTTATAAATAAATAAATAATTTCATCTACTTTCACAGTGAACACTTATATGAAAACAAAAAAAATTGCTTCAGTTAGTGCTTTCTACAGTAAAGATTAATAGGTGTGATTTATTGTCTAAAATATAAATTATATTATCAATGTATATTATCAAGTGTAGTTTTCTTG